AGGAATGGTTATATCGTAAGTGGTTGTGATGGTTATAGTACTCGTTTCGTCGACCATTCAAACGGTATTTCCGAATACGACAAGTACCGAAGCAATCTATCTTCGAAATCCTGCTGATGGCAAACGTACCTGCACTTCCATGCTCTGAACGGCGTAAAAAGTCAAAGGTTTTAACACTGGGTGGTGTACCATTTCGCCAACGGGTTTCACGATCCCATCGTAGAACATCTCAGAGGTGAACCTAGTGATGTCCTCGTGAGCACGGTAACTCTGGTGCAAGTGGATCCTGCAGGGATGCGTTTTCGGGTATGTCCCATAGATTCTTTCTAACAGACTTACACCCAGGCCCCGTTCGCTAGCCAGATCGCTGTATATTTCTGGTGCAAGTTGCATCTGGTCACCAGCGAGAACCAAGCGAGTTCGTGGAGTAGCTAGGGCCAACGGAGTCAGAACTTCGCATTCTAATGCTTGGGCAGCCTCGTCGATTATTATGTGCGTGAACGACAGATGGAAACTGGTTAGAGAGCTAGACATGGCTAAGGTGGTCACGATCAGACCACAATCTTTCAGGTCATCCTCGATCGGCGTGCGAAAGGTACCGTTCTCTTTCATCAGACTATACCCCTGAACCACTGGATGGACCTGAAATGGTGGAATGGTGAAATGGTGGAAGAGCAGAAAGAAATCTTCCATCGAGTAGAATCACGGGTCTAATTCTTCCACAGAGACGTACCGTATTCCTGGCTCTACCTTCGTAGTAAATTCTGATCGGTTTGAGTCGTGGATTCTTTTCGAATTTGTACCAAACGTCGAAGAATTCCTTCACGTAGAGATCCGCTGCGCTGTTGCTGTGCGTGCAAAGTAAAATCTTGGACTGGGTACACTCGGTGAGTAAGACTCTAATAGCCTGCGAAATGGTGAATGTTTTCCCGGTGCCAAATGGGCCTAATAACAAGATCGGTGGCATCAAAAAGTCAGTGGGATATGTTATCGCCGATAAAGCTTTCTTCTGCTTCGTGTTTAGCAAGCTGACCACGTTCTTGCATTCCACATCCAATATATCGGTTTCCTTCATATCCACGTAAATTTTGTTTAGAAAAACTAGCCCTATATCGGGCAAACTGTCCACCGACTTGTGCCATTCGCAGAATGGTAAACGATTCAATAGGAATTGCACTTGCACGTGCATATCCGTATCAGCCACCAAGTTCAACATATGCACGCACTTTTTCGACAATCTAACGTACACGGTCTGCATATACTTGTCCTCTATGTGCGCTTCGAATATCGTACTCGAGGTATGCGATAAACTCTTGAAGAGCACTTTATTGCAACCTCTCAGGAACAGCCTGCCGCTTTTCGTATCTTCTGAGATACTGCGGCTTAGCGGCAGCTGTGGTACAAATTCATCATACAATTTTCTTTTAACCAATTAAAACACGAAACAACTATACTAAATGTGAGCTTATATGTATTTGCGAGACTACCACTAATTGTACATTATTGTTCAAAGTAGCAGAAGAGTGTAGGAAGAAGAAGAAGAAAGGTATAATTGCTAAAAGGAACCGCACCTGAGCAAAGAGTTCACCATGCGGTGCATATTTGCCAATGGTGGATCCATCGCCTACAGAAGCCAAAACATAGTGACTTAAAAGACGCATGTACGAGGTCTCATTATATCTAGCTATCTGTTCGTGTCTAGCCAGCTCTTCTATAGTGATCAATTCATGAAGACGACCTCTATAATTTTCTGGTGTCAAACGATTATCAGTGAGAGACTCTTGAGTCAAGGAGAAATTACTTTTATCAGGATACGGATAGATCATGGACAGTTGATCTTCCTTTTTGTCTTTCGCAGATACAAAAGGTGACTCGAACCAACAAATTTGATATTTCTTATTATTCCATGTTTTTGGGTTCTGAGAAAACTGATAGTTTGTTGCTTTATTGATCCTGGAGGAATCTTCGGCTGGTAAACAGTCCATGCAAATTCTCTGAAATATCACTGGATACTCTCCAAAGTAGAAAACCACATTCTGGCGGTACGTGCCATATTTACTTGCAACAAAACCAATTTTGACATGATACAACAATTTCTCTGTTGCATTTCCACTTCCATGTTTATTCCTCAGGTCTGGATTGTACCATTCTTGACTGTTCGTAAATCCAATAGTTGCACCGTTATGCTTAACCGATTTCAGGTCAAAATTCTTGCGATTTTGATCCAACATTAATACTACTCTTTGCAACCGTTTACCTAAATGAATCATTTACCTTTGACAAATATTGTACCAAACAGAAATCTCAATGCTATATTTCTCTTCATAAATTACTCAACTCTTCAATTATTTAAAACGATAAGCTTTCGATACTTTAATATCATTTACAAACATTAATATTCTATCATTAATGTCATTTACAAACATTAATCCTTTATCTAATTATCTCAATGAATCTTTGTTACGACCAATGACAATCGAGTTTGTTAAACAGTTATGTAAACACACAGTTAGAAAACAATGACACTTACCATTGGCAAAAATCTTAAAATTCCAATTGAAAATCACATGCTTATCGGTTGATTGGCAATAAAGACTTTTATCCGGGATAATCAACACATCTTCTGATTGCTCGTACTTCATAATAACCTCTGGATTCTTCGATTTTAACCAATCATGGTGCAGTTTATTCGCGAATTCGGAAAGAAACGGAGGCTTAACCTCTTCCGCCATTCGATACGAAAAATCGACCATGGTCGCGGACAGAAATTCCGCATAATTTCGACAAGATACCGACATATTTGACTACATTATATTATACTGCACGATTGTTGATGTTTTCGAAGCAACAGATGCACCCATTTCAACACGCATTTCCACGATAACTCCACGATAACTATTGATCGAACACTGTGCGTAGGCTGCACGTGCAGACTAAACAATGCTGGAACGCAGTTGCCGCCATCTTGCGACTGTCGATGCACTCGTGAGTCTGGGCGAGTGACTTTATCGACGACTGGAGCCAGGAATTGAATATAAATAAATAAACAAAAAATTATTTATTTATTCATAATCAACGTTTATTACGAACATTACAATATAAAATTACACCGCGAAAGGAGATCACACACCGAAATGATCTTGTCAGAAATTAACAGTTAATTAAAGTATGACAATTCGTGTAACGACACAATTACGATAGTAATAGATGATACATTCCATCTTCAATTCTTCCATAGCGTACACAAATCAAGAGTTTCTCCACCTTTCGTTCCTATTTGCGCTTACATTCATCGCGAAATCAGATTAAAAACCCGCGATTCTTGCAATCCCCGCAGGCAGCTTTCGTGGCAAATAAACAAGCCAGAAAAAAACTCGTCAGATGGAAAGCGGCTTGTCTCACTCTCTCTCCCCACCTCCCACCCCCATCACCACTCCGTGCGATCCCGTGGAAATACCAGCGAAGATTCTCATGTAAATCGCGCAATGCTATCGAACCACCGGAAGTGGCTAAATGACGATCGCCATTATCCTGCGGCCTGGCGAAGGGCTCCGAGCGATTGAACCCGCGCGGAGAGAGGAGACCGAAGGGTGGGGGTAACAGGACGTTTGAAGAGTCTCCGCAAGAGGGACGGAGCGCAGAACCAGCGGAGTGGGATCGCGGTTAGCTCGACTGGCTTGAAAGCTTTCGAATCGTCGACCATTTCGTGCGTTGCTCCAGGTATTCCCCTTGATACCAGGCTATTCCATTTACCTCGACGCCTGAACCGTTACACGGAGCGGGGTCGCGCGGCGCGGGGAACCGATGAAAAAATGCTATTGGAATCTGCAGTCACGGGAGCTGACCAGTTTCCAACGCGAGATAAACTATTTGTCTGTTTTCCAACTTTCCCCCGGGGAAATCTAATGCGACGTTCGACGCTCTGTATGCGTGCTGGCTCGCGTGCCTGTGGACGGCCACTTTTAATTGTGTTCGAGAGGCACGCGCGGAACGATGGCCACGGGGGTCGCTTTTTCACGCGCACATCTGGGTTCGGGATGGTTCTTGCTGCTGCTGGTCTGTCGTCGATGCTCGCTCGGGCTTTAGGAACGGAGAGTGGACCGTTTGAACGGGAATGGGTCGTGGAACTAGTTACTCCCGTTAGTTTCTCGGTTGAGGTTAGGTTCGATAATATCGCGACGAGAACTTTTTGCGAAATATATGTATTATCGTTTATCGATTCCTGAAATCATTTGCTCGATCCACGAGCCTGAATTGCAACTTTGTATTGGCAAGGTGTACCTATACCGTTTGGATTTCGGGTGATCTCCGAGCTGTCTATAATTTGATATTTAGGAACAATGTATAACTGCGAAGGGGCGAAGGGGGTAAAATGAACGAGGGCTACATTGGCGTCGAATGTTTGGTTTTTTTATTACGATCACTGCAGTGGGACCGGTTGCAATTGCTCTGACTTGACTATACTGTGCATTCTATTTTCCTTTGGAGAAAGCTATTTACTTTCCCAAGAGGGTGAAGTTGGGACGCATGGAAGTAAACCACAGGGCCCGCGCGACTTGTTTATTACTTATTTACTAAGGGCCCAAATCGGTTTGGCTGAAAGTCAGTCTTTCTTCGCGAAGTTGAGTGCATCCCCACAACTGTTGTCACAAAATGCTACGAATTTTAATTTTATAGTATATAAATGCTAGATATTGATAGCTTGACAATTCCATAACATGCAAATCATCAAGTTTTGATACTTTCTTCAACGTAGTTATTCCAAAACCATGACTGCTGCACCGAAGGAGCGCGTTACCGTGGACCCCGAAATTTGTTGCAGAAAGGGACAGCCAAAGAAATGAATTCGCGATGCAAATTGCACGATAATGAAACCTATTTACGTTTTCATTAATGAAACTCTCGTTAACCAGGGTAATTCCGAACGGGATCGTTGAAAGGAGAGGACTCATCCGACTGTAACAGGTCATTCCTAAACAGAAAGAAACTGCCACGGGTAGGAGGAAGGGAGGAAAAAGAAAGGGCGGACAATGAACATTTACCGGGGCTTCAGTTCATCAGGAAATATTTTCATTCACCGCGCTTCCGTTAACGAAGCTCAAGATTATTAAGCCCGACGCGGCCCTCAAACGCTGCGGGACAAAAGCGCTTAAGCTTGTGTCGCTTTCATCAGCTACCCTTCGTCCCGGCAGTCGCAAAACGAAAATGGAAGGAAGAGTTGGGTCGAGGGGTTCGGAAACGGAAAACAACCACCGGTGAATGTCTCTTTAAGCCTTCTCGCTGAGGCAAAAACAGGAGAAAGACGAAAGAGAAAGAGGGGAAGAAAACGAAGGTAAAAGAAGGTGAAAGAGGCACAGAAAACGAAGGTAACAGGAGGTGAAAGAGGGAAAGAAAACGAAGGTAAAAGAAGGTGAAAAGGGTGAAAAAAACGAAGGTAAAAGAAGGTGAAAGAGGGGGCGAAAACGAAGTCAAAAGGAGGAGAAAGAAGAGGAGAAAGCGAAGATAAAGAAGAGGAAAGAGGAGGAGAAAACGAAAGCAAAAGTTGGAGAAAAAGGTAATCTCAATGGAACGACATAACGAGCCTGATTTCGTGCAAGTCCGCGCAGCTAGGGGGTGCGAAAAATCGCGACCTGACGCGGTGGACAGGAACTTCTTATCTAGGGGAAATTCGCGTTCATCTAGTTACATTATATCAGTCGGATCGCCAGATGTTGGCAAAAGGCGCGATAGGAGCCTTAAGAAGGGGCGAAGTGGGTGGTGCTGCGCGATAAATTCATCCGCTGCTCGCGATTAAAATGACGAACGCAACGAGATAGCGGGGCCTGGCTCGATAAAAAGGAACTAGAAAACCCGTCGACGTTTTTCCCTGGGTCACGAGAAAAACAGGAGAAAGAGCAAAAAGGAAGGAGACACGACGAAAGCGACTAAAAACGAAGGGGAAGAGCAACACGCAGCGAAGGTGCAGGTCTGGAGGGATGGTCCGGTGGAGCAGAGCTGAAAACGGGACAGGGGTTGAGACTGCGGAAGAAGCGCGAGCTCCGGGGATGAGTTTGGATTGCTCGCATATATCGCTAATTAAAATCTGTCGCCTAGTGCATGACCGTTCTTGCGAAGAGCGAAGAGGAATGGAAGAGGAGAGACAGAGTTGACGCAGGATGGCCTGGCGCGCTGGAAATATCGGGACTGCGGGTGCAACGAGGCGGGCGGCGCGGGGAGGGTGCAAGTAACGGGCGAAAACGTCGAAATCGAGCTAACGAGAGGATTCGTTATATCGGACGGAGCCGGAATATAAAGAATTGTCGTTATCGCATCCCTGACGCGGACGCGCGCGAATATGTGCTCGCTGGGGCAGGGTCAGTTTTTTAATCGAGTTTCTGCGCCCGCTTCCGGCTTACCTTCCGCCTACCAACTCACATCCAGAGACTCGAACGCTGGGTATCAGTCGGTTATTAGAAACCGGCTTTTCTTCTTCCGTCTGCGCTCACGCGTGCAGGCAAAAATGAACGGTGGGTGCCGTTGTGAGAGGTATTCCAGTTCCGCCGGTGGTGCAAGCAAAGGGAGAGAATAGAAAAAGGCTGGATGAGATTGTTTCGAGGGTGGATTAAACAGGTCATGGATAACGATGCTTCGTTAAGACAAGTGATTCGAGAGATCAGGTAGCGTGGAGTTCAAGATGCTGATCGATGTTGTTGGTTTAGTCTGTGAAGAACAGGATCTCTGGTACTTTGGATGATCTGTGCTTTGCAATTGATCTAGTACGAAGAATATTATTCTGGAATAATATGGGGATCATCGCTGAAAGATCACTGAAAGATCATCGTGGACCCAAGACGCTGTCAAAGGCAATAACGACAAAACTGAATTAAATAGGACTTGGGATTGGTCTTTGCCTTATCAGCTGGCACCGAACCATCTCTTTACAATCTTTGGTTACTAATAGACTTGCTCAAAAGTCCAACAGAATGTACCAAGTAACCGATCTAGTGGAAACTCTATTAACGTAGCAGGTAGCTCACAGCTCACACATATAACTGGCAAATCGCTGCACGCGACCTTCAGGTTATCCTCTAAGTACACAGGACCCCTACTGCGATGTTAGACACCGGTACTACCTCTGTGTCCTCCAGAGACCGCATCACTCAGAGTATCCGTACGAGGAAATAGACACGCACCAGACCATATGCCTCTGGCAACTGTGACGAGACTCGTCGTTTCGCCGATATTTAAGAAAATAGCCACAGATGCGATGGCGATATGCGACTATGATGTACTCCTGGTCTAAAGACCACTCAGTTGCACAATCGTGAGCTGAAATGGGCCGATCTAGAGGACCCAAGACGCTGTTAAAGGCAAAATCGATCACAAAACTGAACTTAATAAGACTTGGAATTGGTCTTTGCCTTATCAGCTGGCACCGAACCATCTCTTTACAATCTTCGGCTACTAATAGACTCGCTGAGAGGTCTAACAGAATGTACCTAGTAACCGATATAGTAGAAACTTTATTAACATAGCAGGTAGCTTAACGTTTCCAATGCACACTGCTCCCAGGCTCGAGAAACTTCACAGCTCACATATATAACTGACAAATCGTTGCACGCGTCCTTCAGATTATCCTCTAAGTACACAGTACCCCTACTGCGATGTTAGACATCGGTGCTACCTCTGTGTCCTCCAGAGACCGCATCACTCAGAGTATCCGTACGAAGAATTGACACGCACCAGACCATGTGCCTCTGGCAACTGTGACGAGATTCGTCGTTTCGCCGGTATTTAAGAAAATAGCCACAGCTGCGATGGCGACACACGACTATGGTATACTCTAGATCTAAAGAGCACGCAGCTGCACGATCCTGAGCCGAATTGGGCCGAGCTAGAG